TCTATCTATCTATCTATCTATCTATCTATCTATCTATCTATCTATGTCTGTCTTTCTGTCTCTATCTATCTATGTCTGTCTTTCTGGCTGCCTGTCTGTCTGTCTGTCTATCTATCTGTCTGTCTATCTATCTATCTACACACATGGTTTCTCTCACCTGTGCCAGTGAGTCATAGTCCAGCTCTGTCCGTAGCTCCACCCCGCCTGTGTTACTAACCGGAGGCAGCCAATGACTGATCATGGCTTGTCTGGCAGGGGCAGATGGGAGACCCACCAGTATCCGCTTCTCCAGTCTTCTCAGCATAGCATGGTCCAACTCCCTGAAGACAGATTAGAAAGATTATAAAGAAAACCATAACAAAAGCAAAAAATTATATTGTTTCCTCACAATCACTCCTCACCAAGGTAAGTTTGAGGCAGCAAGCACAAACACAAGATCGTTTGATCGTGCCAGTCCATCCATCTGAACTAGTAACTCCGTCTTCATCCTTCTACTGCCCTCGTGATCACCTCTTAAAGAGATGTAAAGAGCAAAACAGAAATCGTGTAAGTTAATAGTTATGGATTGTGTGCTAGGAGTGAGATTTTAGGTTGTTTTATAATCTTACTGTCAGTGAAAGTTACTGGCTCATGCTCACCCTTGACCAACACCTCGCTGGCTCATCACCGATTCCAGCTCATCCAAGAAAATGGTGGATGGAGCGTGATATCTTGCCAGCTCAAACAAAACCTGCAGAGAATCATAACATGAGGAAAATCAGTGTTTCGCTGAGCACAACCTTTCCCCCACACATCTGATAAAACAATAAAATAACACAAATCTGAGAAAATATTGTCTCCTCGGACCCGAACCAGCTTCTCAGAGTCTCCCCTCCATTTGCTGACAATACTGGATGCAGAGATGTTGAAGAATGTTGTGTTGCACTCCGTGGCTACAGCTTTGGCCAGCATCGTCTTTCCTGTGCCTGATTTTTGAGAGGCAGTCGTCACATTAAGATCATATTACACGTAAAATGAGTTATATTATATATTCAGGGATTGAATATTCATATTTTCACAAATGGATTTACACAAACAGAAAACAGAAAGGTCAGACCTGGTGGTCCATACAGGAGTAAACCCTTCCATGGTGACAGGATTCCAGTGAACAGCTGTGGATACTGAAAAAAGAGGGTAGGTGGATAGTGGTTAGAACTAGATGGTTGCTTTGGGTGTTTCTAGGTTATCTGGAGGTTGCTAGGTGGTACTTCTAGACAGTTGTTCTGGGTGATTGCTATTTGTCATTTCTAAAATGTCCTTAATGTGATCGTAAGTATGTTAGGTAAGTAAGCTGTTTTTTGTTTTTTTTTGGTGGTTGCTAAGACCTTTTTAGGTGGCTGTTAGATACTTGATAGGGTGTTCTGGCAACTGATTGCCAGCTGGCTGCTATAATGTTTTTGGCGGAGGTCACTAGGGTGTTGCTAGGCAGCTGCTACAGTTTTCTAAGTGGCCGTACACATCTAGGTGGTTGCTATGGTGCTTTGTCACAGTTGCTAGGATTTGTGTTGCTTGGGTGTTCTGAATGGGTTCTAGGGCATTGGTAGGCAGTTTCTAAGGTGTTTTAAATGGCTGCAAGTGTGCTGCTAGGTTGTTGCTATGGTTCTCTATGTGTTTTTTAGAAAGCTGATATTGAATTCTGGGTGCATTGCTAGGCATGTGCTAGGGTGTTTTGGATGGCTATCAGTGTGTTGCTAGGTTGTTGCTGTGGTTCTCTGGTTGTTACAGCATTGTTTTGAGTGGTTATTCACTGGTTACTAGTGTGTTATGGGTGGTCACTTGGGTCTTTTGAGTGGTTGCTATGGTGCTTTGCCATGGTTACTAGGTTGTTGTTTTTGCATATTACTAAAGTGTTCTTGGTATTTGGTAAGCAGTTGCTAGGTGTTTTCTAATATGTTTTCTAGGTGTGTTGCTAGGCTGGCTGTTGCCATGGTGCTCTTTGTGGTCGCTAGAGAGCTGCATTTGTGTTGTGGGTGGTTGTTGCAGCATTTATAGGGTGTTCTGGGTTGTTTCCAGCTGGTTGCAGTGGAGTTCTGGGCGGCTGTTTGTGCATTGCTATATGGCTGCTAGGCAGTTGCTAGGGGTTTCTTGGTGGTTGCTAAGCATATGCTAGTGGAAGTTTCTAAGGATGTTGTAATCTAGGTGGTTGTTAGCTTTTAAATGCTGTTCTGGATAGTTGCTGGTTGGTTGATGTAATGTTATGGGTGGTTACTAGAGTGTTGCTAGGGGGTTGCTACAGTTTTCTGAGTGGCTGGTGTTGTTAGACATATTGTGTTCTAAGCAGCAGTTACTAGGGTGTTTTGGGTGGTTACTAAGGCATTGCTAGGTAATTTTAAGATGCTCTAAGTTGCTGTTTTTCCCCTAGGTGGTTGTTAGGTTGTAAGGAATGATGCTGTGGGGCTTTGTCGTGGTTGCTAGGATTGTTAGGTTGTTAGGCATGTTGCTGTGGGGCTTTGTCGTGGTTGCTAGGATTGTTAGGTTGTTAGGCATGTTGCTGTGGGGCTTTGTCGTAGTTGCTAGGATTGTTAGGTTGTAAGGCATGTTGCTATGGGACTTTGTCACGGTTGCTAGGATTGTTAGGTTGTAAGGCATGATGCTGTGGGGCTTTGTCGTGGTTGCTAGGATTGTTAGGTTGTTAGGCATGTTGCTGTGGGGCTTTGTCACGGTTGCTAGGATTGTTAGGTCGTTAGGCATGTTGCTATGGGGCTTTGTCACGGTTGCTAGGATTGTTAGGCATGTTGCTGGGTAGTTACTAGGTCATTGCTAGGTGGTTTAATAATTTCTAAATTGCTGTAAGTCCGTTGCTAGGCTGGCTGTTGCTGTGGTGCTCTATGTGGTTGCTAGTAAGCTCCTATGGTGTTCTGGGAGGTTTCTTCCTGGTTGCAGTGGAGTTGTGCATGCCTGTTAGTCCATTGCTAGGTGGTTGCTAAACATGTGCTAGGCTGTTCTGGATGGTTACTGCGACATTACAAAGAAGTTTCTAAGGATGTCATAATCTGAGTGGTTGTTAGAGCATTAATAGGGTGTTCTGGATAGCTGCTAGTTAGTTTTTACAATGTTCTGGCTGGTTACTAGGGTGTTGCTAGGTGGCTGCTAAGGTTTTCTGAGTGCCTGTAAGAGTGTTGCTAGGCTGTTACTGCTGTGCTCTAATATTTAAGGCACTGATAAGGGGTTTTGGGTGGTTGCTGTGGTGCTCTGAATGGCTGTTATTTGGCTACTGAGGTGTTATAAGTGGTTGCTAGGGAAATTTCACGAATAATCAATATTGTTTGTTGACTTCACGCTAAGGTGAATAACAAAAACTAATATCTTCATCGACCAATTAACTGCAGACACCACTTTATCTTTATCTAATACATGATAAGGTCCAAGTATTGATAAAACCGAGCCTCAAAATGTCCTTCAGCATAATGTGATGTAATCATATTCTTCATTCAATTTTTACTTCATGTGCTACAAGCAAAAATAAGCAGAATTTCCAGGTAATTCTGTACGACAGCAGGCTACTTCACCACATGATTGAGTCGGGGAAGACAAATAACGTTTGCATTTCCTGTTTGTCGGGAGCGTATTGTGGATTTGTAGTCATCAGCAGAGAGGCCAGAGATGTGAGCGGTCAGATTGGATGGTATTCAGGTATAGATTTCATGTCATCTTAAGAAATAACCCTGAGCCCAGCTTTCCTCTAGCCGTTAGTGGAGATGTATTCAGAATCGAAGGCAGGCGGCAGCTTGAGAAATACCAAAGTGTTTAGCGGCCAAGCACCTTAATAGGGTAGACGACAGCTTCTTTGACTAATCGCTTGGCAGCCTCCAGGCCTATAATGTCGTCCCAGCGCACGTTGGGGTTGTGTAAATAGATATCCTTTATGGAGAGACAGGAGAAAAAGATGAAATGGAGTGCTTCAATAATACATGTTACCTGCGCGCGCACACACACACACACACACACACACACACACACACACACACACACACAGTGATATTGGGATGTGTAACACTATATTATAAAACAGACTGTATGCTGCTCTCTAGTGTTGAATCAGTGTTGGAATGGCACAGTATTTTTCATTATCAGAAATGTGTCTAATTTACATTTTTTTGTCTTTAAAAGTAAAATATTGTATAAATGTGTGAAACATCAAAATCAAATGAATGAAGATGAAGCTTATTTGGACCCATCAAGATATTTTGCATTGTGACATTATTTTTATTACATATCCCCTCCTAGTTCTCTGCAATTAATTGTGGTGCTTCTTGTTGATTTTGAAGTAAAAATAGAAATAGACTGTTGCACTCAGTTACACATTTAATGCTTCAAGTGCATGAAACAAATCAAATGATCAAAAAAAATTTAATTAAAAAATTTAAATATAAAAATATATATTTATATATTTTCACTGCACTTTGGAAATATATATATATATATAGATAGATCTATTTCTTTTCTAATAGAATTTTTACTTTGAATCTTTAAGTGTGTGGACAGTCATTTTGATTCAGAGTAATTTCTAAATATGATTTCATTAATACAATATATATATATATATATAATTATTTTATTATTATTTTGATTACTGATTCATGTAGTAATTTTAAAATATGATTATCAATACAATATATATGATTAAATATATAATTATTTTATTTATTTATATTTAGATAGATCGACAGATCTCTTTTGAATCTTTATTCAGTGTGTGGACAGTAATTTCAATTTACACAGTCATTTTAAAACATGATTTTGTCAATACAGATTAATTTTGTATTACTGGACTGTATAACTGTAATGAAACTTTAATAAGAATCATCATTGAGAAAAATGAAAATTATCAAAACAAACAAACAAAAAAGCTTTATGGTTGTGAGGATTGTGCTTAACTGTCATTAATATCACATTTCAAAAAACAAAGAAAAAAATCATAGTAGTTCTGAAAAAGCGTCATTGTCTTGTGTTTTTTTAATATTACTTGAATGGTAAAATGACAGACTTCATAATATTTCCCTAATATAGCACCAAACTGCCACACAAGGGCAGCAGTTTCATAAACATCAACTTACTCTGCTAATAACCGCTGCAAGTTCCCTCATTTCACTGTTCATCCCAATGAAGGCACTCACGGGCTTCAGCAAACGCTCCTGTCAGACACAAGCATGAGGGATGTTTCACAATCATTTTCTATCACAGCTGCTTCCAACAGAGCTTCAGTTGCTTTGAACCCGAATGAAACACAGTTGACCTACTGAGAAATCTGTGCAGGGCAGGACTGAGTCGTTAGCGGCACCTTTAACTGCATCAGGAATCAGACTCCTGTAATCAACCTGATGAAGAAAGAAAGAAATCAAGTCATATGGGTTTTAAACTGCATAAAGGTGAGTACAGTACATGATGACAAGATATTCTTTTTTGAGGCAAATAAACAATCCTTAAAAAAGAAAGACCTTTCTCATGTGTGTTCCCTCTTCTGCCCCATTCCTGATGAGAGGAGACACATTCAGACCGAACCCTGATGCGTCCGCAGGCGTCAGCTGCTCTCCTTCCTGGACAGATCATGCAAAGCGACTCTTTCTTGTGTACAGAGTTTATAACAGTTTGTTCAAACCAAAAGAAAAAGAGGTTTGTAGACTTACACTGGATTTGCTGATGTCTCTTCCTGTTAGTTTAGATTCCGTCTTTTTAACAGTGTTTCTGGATGGAGGTCGCTGGGTGGAGCTGATTTTTGGGAGTGTGTGACTGGATGATGACGTCCTTCCACAAATGAATACACACATGGGGAATAAAAACAACATTATACTGAGTCTTTGAATGCTCTTGTGGTAAAAGTACTATACATACCTTCTTTTACCACAGCTCTTTACAAGCCGACTCTCTCCTATAAAGACAAATGACTAAATAATAACCTTTATTAACAAGTATTATTGCACTATATATATTGCTTAACAATTCATGTTTTAATGTACAAACCCGATTCCAAAAAAGTTGGGACACTGTACAAATTGTGAATAAAAACAGAATGCAATGTGAAAGTTTCAAATTTCAATATTTTATTCAGAATACAACAGATGACATATCAAATGTTAAAACTGAGAAAATGTATCATTTTAAGGGAAAAATTTTTTACTCACAATTTGTACAGTGTCCCAACTTTTTTGGAATTGGGTTTGTACATGCAAAAAAAAAATACTATATATATATATAATAAGAAAATAATACAACAGTATTTATGAAGTTTCACAGAAGTTAGAAGTAAAATCTCACCTGGTTCTGTCAGTTTCTTTGTCAGTTTGGGATATTTCTGAAACTTTATTAAATAATAACTCTCATATTCCATAAGAACGGTCTCCAAGTCAACATTATCACACACCTCGAAACGGCATACAGCAAAACTGCTTTCTTTCTCTAAGGCTTTAGCTGAATCCACATACCTGTGCAGTCGACACACAAAAGACTTTAGCGCGTCTCTTCTTTCATTCTGAGCCATTTGATGCTCATGCCATTTTCAGAAATGTGTGCAAGCTCTCACCCCTCCTCCAGCAAGTGATGATAAATCAAAACCAGCACATTTCTCCTGCGCGCTTCTGTTCTCAGCTGCTCCTGAGAAAACACATTCATACAACGTTCATTTAAAATCACATCGACACACTAAATGTCGCGACTTTAATATGGTTGCTTGCAGCAACTGTAGTACTAGTAGCCTATTTGGCGGGGAATGTGTGTGAGTATTAATTGTTACTCAAACGGATACATTTGAGCTGTAACAGATATTATAATTGATGAATATTTGTAATAATCTCCACTGAGTATCCGTTAGATGGCGCCAAATCTTACATGAATGCATAGACAGCATGACAGGTTGCTATGGCAACACAGCACCCAACGACTGTAAACACGCGCGCTAGTACCTAACTAGCCATCTTGCTAATTGTCAACAAATAATAATAATAACAAAAATATCCGAAAGGCTATTTAAAAACGATAAACAGGCACTCGACTCCATTCGTACTCCGTTTATCTCACAATATTTATATATATATATATATATGTTTATACACTCTTTTTTGTACAGTACGGAAAATAAAACTAAAAGTAAGTACATTAAGTGCTTTCCATACATCCAGTTCAACAAGTCGTCGGCTCTCCATTAGCAAACGAGCAGCTGATGTTGTGGGCAGTTATCAGAATAAGACGGGGACGTGTGTGTTTCAGAGGACGCCGGAGTCAGTGAGGAAAGTGCTGGCCTCCAGGATCATACTCTTCATATAAACACGTACAGTATAAAACAGTGTTAGAAAGTCCTGGGTGCTGAAGACGGTGTCGGCCAGAGAGAAGCCCAGCGTGGAGGGAATGAATCCTCGGCCGTACTCCACCATCCATGTCCCGGCGCTCCACTGCACTGACGTGGCCTCTCCCACCGCATGCACGATAGTGTCTCCTGCCACAACAAACACAGGCTTCACACCACTGTTAGACTCAAGTGTGTGGCGGAGACGTGTGGTGGTTGTACCTGGATAGTAAGTCTCGCTTTTAGTGCTTCCTTCTTTCCATTGCCTGAATGTTCCAGAAATGATGGTGTCTGATATTTCTGCCCAGTAACGACCTGAAGGAGACGCAAATATGAAAAGAAAAACAGCCGTATTTGGTGTCATTGCTGCACACATATGATGTGGGGGAAAATGTATGTATGTATGTATGTGTTATTTATATATTTATTCACTTTTTAAAGGTGGGGTAAGTGATTTCTGGTAGCCGATGTTGACATTTCAAATCACCAAAACAAACACGCCCCTACCCCAAAAGGGTCACGCCCCTATTCTGATAGCTCCACCCCACATATACGTACGCAACCCAGGCAACGATTAGTTCTGTGAAACAAAGCAAAACCAATGTTACACCGTGTCTACACTGAACGCAAGTAGCGCGGCGCGACAAAATACAATAGAACTCTTTATAATCAGTGATGCTGTCTACACCAAAGATATATATATACATATCTATGGTCTACACTGGATGCGGTGCGGCACGACACGACAAATCCCCGACAGAAAACTGCTGCTGCGTTCTATTCATGGTGTGTTGACACAAATTTCAAATGATTTTCAACGGTCACTTTGTAGCGTCCAGTGTGCTAGACAGACTTTAGCTGCTGCGGCGCAGACACAGTGTTACTCACCTATCGAGAAGAAACAAAGCAACCTCGGCGTCCGATCGCAGGCCTTCCGCTCCTTGAGTTCTCTCCAGCGCTGGAAAGCTGATCCCATATTTACACGGGTCCTACTTCTTGCCTTATTGCCTTAAGCCTTTGTTTGTCCTGCAGACGTTTTCCTCTTTTGTTTTTTTATCCACCATCTCTATCTTTCTGTCGCTCGGCTCGGCTAATGTCCGTCCCGTGCACTGAACTCTCCCTCCTCCACATCATGAGTAGACACGCCCCTTACTGCTGATTGGCTACAAGTTTGTTTTGCTACTCGGCCTGAATCAGTTTTCTAAAGCGTTTTTGAAAAATCGCTTACCCCACCTTTAACGCCATGTCAGCATCAAGGCTACTTTCATAACGATCTCGGAATAAATTATACAAGGTATACAATTAACAAAATGTTATAAAATACATTTTAGATGTACACGACAAAAATTCTAAAATACATTCAGGCGATACATTTTTAAATTAATCAGTTAGACACACCTCTTATTTTATTTAAGTTAGAAGCCAAGGCAAAACACCTCCACCATCCAAAAAAATCTTAAAAATTGGGAATACAGAAAATTTGCCATATTTTATGCCTATTAAGATTTTGTAACATTATTTTATCTCAAAATGCTTATTTTTGTAATTCATATTGATTTTTTTTTTTTTTTTTTTTGCAATTCCCATTATTACTAATAGTGATTCCCATTAGAGTATCAATACAGTATTTATTACAGCACTAGTTTAAAGGGGTCATATGATGCAATTTCAATTTTTCCTTTCTCTTTGGAGTGTTACAAGCTCTTGGTGCATAAAGAAGATCTGTAAAGTTGCAAAGACTAAAGTCTCAAATCCAAAGATATATTCTTCTGACTCACAGACTGTAAGTACGTTTTTTTATATTTAAAGAATTTGCCACTGATGATTCAAACACGAGTTTTGAGCAGTGTAGAGTAGCACTTGTTGTTTGTCATTTTTCCGATCACAAATGCAGACATGGTTTTATGTTTATGATGCAACGCAACATGTAAAAAGACAGTTTAAGTCATTATAATCCGTAATTATGTCCCCACTGGATGCAACAAATGCCTCGTTTATAATGGGTTTTAATTGTTTTGTCTCATCGCGCCGGACACGGCATCACAGTATGGTAAGGGGAGTAACATTTCCGTCACACGCTTGAGGTATTCGGCCAATCACAACGCACTGAATAGCTGGCCAATCACAGCACACCTCGCTTTTCAGACCGATGAGCTTTGTAAAAATCAGGAAGGCGGGGCGTAGAGGAGAAACAATAATGTACAGTATGTGGAAAATAATGTGTTTTTTTAACTTTAAACCGCATAAACACATTTCATTACACCAAATACACAAAATAATGTTCTTTTTAGCAACATCATATGACCCCTTTAAAACATTATATACAAATTTATATTCTAAATAATATTGCTATACACAATTGTTTTCATTTATTATTATTCTGCAACAAGTTAATTAGAATTTAGTGCTTAATTAAAAAATAATGCTGCAGTGCAAAAAGTCATATGATCCTATAGTAGTCTTTATTTCAGATTTTTCATTCCTTTCTTTTATTTTTGAGGACACACATGCCCTCGAGCTGTTCTTGACCCACCTGAATGTCCGCCTGTGTCCACGGCCATCCCGAACAGCAGCACATACTCTGTGAGAGAGGCGTGCAGCAGACACATGGAGCCCATCCAGCCGCCCGCATTCACAAACACCCACTGCAGGTCCTCATCGGGCAGGATGTGACCCGGATACCTCTTCCTCAGCTCCACCACCACCTTAGAGAAGGCTTGGTCGTGGTCCTGGCCTGTGACACACACACACACACACACACACACACACACACACACACACACACAGGTTTGTTTTTG